GGGAAGGAGATTATTTTCTCTCATGGTCAGTGGAATATGTAAGAATTCCCAGAGACAACAGACTGGGAACATCAGAGATTAGATCAGGCATGAAACCAGCCTATGATCCGTGAGGGGTGAGAGAGGTCAAGAGAAGACGTTGGCTCAGCCTCAGAGAGAGAGTTACGATGTTAAGTGAAAAATTTTCAATTTAATTATGAAGGAATGTGAAATGGAGAGAATTGTCTAGAGACAAAAGAAGAGATACATTTATCTTTGATTTTTTTAATCAATAGCTTAATTTAATTAAGCAGAACTAGAAGAATCTGTAACCCATGTAAAGTGTTGATTCAGTAAACAGATCATGTAGACTGTTTCCTTTTCACTTTCTCCTTAAACAAAACAAAATAAAAACAAGGCAAAAAAAAAAGCAAGGCAAAAAACTGCAGTGTTTTCTCTTTTCTCTGATAGCCCTCTTTGCTTTCATAAACTCAAAAGATCAATTATATAGCTTCAAATAACTATACTACATATTATAGCAAATTTAATATTTCATATATTATTGAAAAACAATTTGCAAAGTCATAAATAACCATACAAATAGTCTGTGAGCTTAAGAAGAATGTCAAATTGCCTTGGTAACTATCAGCACAGAGCATTTTATTTTATTTTATTTGTTTAGAACATTCAACCAAACTGTCGGGACATTTGAAGAACTTCAAAAATACCTTGAAGGGTATGTGGCGAACCTGAACCGTGATGATGAAAAAAGACATGCAAAGTAAGTGAAGGAGCATTTACCCAAACTGGACGTGACTTCCGGCCACTGACAGAGAAGGGGCAGAGGGATATGATTCACTATGTGCTAACTTTTAATGTGTCTTCACTAGATAATTCTGGGGAGTTCTTTTTATTTGATTTATTTATTTTTATTTTATTTTATCAATATACAATGTAGTTGATTTTCGAGTCCCTTTACCAATTCCTCCCTTCTCCTTCCCTCTCCCCCCTCCTGCCCATCAACATCATATCTGTTCACTTGTCTTAAGTTCAAGGAATTGTGATTGTTGTGTCTTCTTCCCCATTCTTTTAAATTGTTCTTTCACAAGGAAGACACCACTAGAGTGGATGTTATTTAAGTCTGTAAGTAGTTAGCTTCTTTATTTTAAGTGATGAGTACGAATGTTAGGGAGAAATTTCCTGATAGGAGCCTTAAGAAAGAGATTCCTTATATTGGTAACTTAGCTCAAAAGAACATTCATAGATGATTACAGGGTTATAGTTAGAATTTTTTAAAATACAAGGAAGCTATTGCTAGGATGTGTGTGTGGATGAAGGGGTTGAGTAATAATGATGATTTTTAAAATTTATTTACTAGAAAAGTCTACTTTGTTAAGTAAAAATTATTTAAAAATTATTTCCTAAAACATTTTTTAGAGCAAATTCTTAAACATATGTTCACCAGATAGTACTATTGAAGTTGTATAGGCAAAATTTATAGAAAACTGAAGTTTGAGTTAAGTTAGAATATTCGATTAGTACCTTATAAGGTTTTTTTTGCAGGGAATGCATTTGCAATTTTTATGAAGGCATTATGGTATGGTAACAACTTATGAATATACAGCCCAAAGCAGCAAACCTTAATTAAAAGAGAAAAAAACAGGTGTTTTCTAACAACAATACTGAGACATAAAGAAATGCACTTTTCATGTTTCACAAAGCAATTATTCTGGGTAAGCCATGGAAAGCTTTAAGATCTGACAAAAATAGCAAAACATGGCAATGATTCTCACTATGGCATTCTTTCTGGTTTTATTCCCTTTCATTAACTCCTTTTGTTGTTTGTTTGTTTATTTGTTTGTTTTTTAGTTTTGGTTGTTTTTTAATAGCTTTATTGAGTTATATTTTAAATACCACAAAATTTATAATTCACCTTTTATCCCTCATTGATTCGATTTAACACTTATTTATTTCTTATTTTGCATGTGTATGTACGTATGTCTGTGTGAGTTTTATGTCTGTATAATCTATTGTTTTTCTTCCCAGATGTGCCTGGATCTGATCCTATGAAAGCTGAGATAGCCTTTGTGGCAACTATAGGCAGTAATTACAGGCAGGATTAAGACTGTTATAAGAGTGGAATTTGTGTATGGCATGACGCCTGCTCGACTAAGGGAGTGTGTGTCAAGTTTCACTTCTCTTGTACAGGCGGTCCATGTCTAACTGGAAGCTCTCCAAAGCACTCTCTCTGGAGATGATTCAGCTGAAGGAGAAGGTGGCCAGATTTTCCTCATCATCCCCATTCCAGAACCTTGAGATTATCGCAACACTGGGCGTTGGTGGGTTCGGAAGAGTTGAACTTGTAAGGGGTTTACGTTTCAAGCATCTGAGAGAAGCCTTTTGACTTATTTTGTTTTATATTCCAGCAAATCTTGGAGGAATATATGAATTGATATTGCTATCTTAAATGTTGCTCTGAACTGAAATAGAGAAAACAAACTTTTCACTCTGTATATTGTATAGTAGCAGGTCTGTGCTAGTAAGTAACTTAGCTATTTCAAGTTTCTTACATCACATCTTTGGCCAATTTTTTTCTTGATGGCAATTATTGGTGAATGTACCAAGTAAGTATTTCCCAAAGGAAACATAAGAAAATGTATTTACTAACAGCAAAATCTGTGTATACGTATATATATTCACAACACACTAACTCTCTATACACTAAAGAAAAGAAGAATGTGTCTAGCAGAAATGCCAAAGAAATGAAATCTTTAGTGTTATAGTTAGGGTCCTTAAACAACTCCACAACCATGTCTTTATTTGGCTTTCATTATCCTATTTTTGGGTTGCTCAAGATTCTCTATCAGCAAAAAAAAAAGGAAGATGAATGCAAGGGGGTGTTTGAGAGCAGCCTTCTATAGCGTTGATCAGGACAGCTGGGAACTTACAGCCTGATTTCAATTTTATCTTCCCCATCCCCACTTCTCTGAGCTTTATAATCAGCTTCCAAGTAGCAGCAGAAGTGGTACTGTAAGATCAAGTGTTCTGAGGAAACTATACAAAAGAGCTCTGTGACCTTACTGGGTACAGTTGGCTCTGAACCCTCAGCAATTACCAAGCCCTTTCTTGCCCATCAGATTTTTAATGATTCATTGTACATGAACCTCAAGGAACTATACTGACACTTCCATCTACTGGATGGCCCCGGGCACAAGCAGATCTGAAATGTTGCCAGGATGCTCTGGGGATAAAATGGTTTCTTATCAGGGCAAAGAGTATTTGTAATGTTTCTTATGCCATATGGAGGGATAAGGGTAATATCTGTCTGCAGTGGTATTTTTTTTTTTTTTACCAGAGATCATGGCAAAAAGATTGAATTAACAATGCTGACATCTGTTGTCCTAAATAATAATTATTGAAGCAGTAATTCCACCACTGATTTAAAAGTCATGGGCAGCATTAATGGCAAATGCGAGCAAAATATGGGGAGCAGCCATTTCTGCACAATCTAGTTACTTGCCAAGTATAGTCTGCTTATACAGTTTTAAACATATTAGAAAAAAACACCTATTTAAACATCTTTGTTTCCTTTTGAGGGAAATTCTGATCATGTATGTAGAGCAATATTCTCTGACAGAATTTTCTGTGCTGATGGAAATGCCCTGTATCTGCACTGTCCAAGACGGTAGCCACTAGCTAGGTGTGGCTATTGAGCTTTTGAAATGCAACAGAGAAACTGAATTTTTAATTTTATTTAATTTCAATTTAAATGATCTTGTGTGGTCAGTGGCTACCCTATTGGATAGTGCAGATAAATAGAGCTTGACTTAATATGTTTTGCTTTGAAAATCAAAGAAGCGATTATTAAGAGAGAACAATTTTTGGCAATTCTGGTCAAAGTTTTCCATGTTACACAATCAAAGCTGAACAGATTTCTAAACATTAAATATTCTAACCAGAACTTTTTTTTTCTTTTTTCAATACAACTATATTAGAACCATGTCCCAGATATATGAGCTGTGTTGAAAATCATGATAAAAGGGAGATGTGTCCACCTGAATGGAACTCAGTTCTCAGAGGAATAAGTGGTTAAAAAACCTACATACTATTTAAATATGAAACCATTTTAACTCTCATTAATTAACATGTTTATATAGATATTGCAAATCTTTTCTAGTACGTTAATTCTGAGGGATCTTTCTATTTCTTACATAGGTTAAAGTAAAAAATGAGAATGTTGCTTTTGCTATGAAATGTATAAGGAAGAAACACATAGTTGACACTAAGCAACAGGAGCATGTCTACTCAGAAAAGCGGATCCTGGAAGAGCTGTGTTCTCCATTCATTGTGAAGTAAGTGAGCGCGTGGCCTATGGGACTCGTGACTTTTAGGCTCTCCTTTCGGATGTCTCTGCAGGAGGATGGAAAGAAGAGAGGAGGTCTCTGAATTCTCGATCCCACTCACAGCAACAGTACTTAAAATGTTAGAAGTTTGAGATCTGGGATCAGAAGTTTTCCAGTTGTTTGTATTTTTGAGTAGACCTTACAAAAGTGTGTATTGGTGCGTGTGTGTGTCTGTGTGAATGAAAGATCGTTGGGGAATAATTTGAACTGATTACTTTATCCATACCTAATGCAGAATTTGGGAACAGGAAGCAAGAATTATAAGAATTATAAGAAACTCCTCAAGGGGTGTACTGATGTTGGATTTCTGCAGGAAGAGGCATTTGGGCATCTGTGGGCTGCCAAGGTGGAACATGCCCTGGTCCTAGCAGTGTCTTCATTTCAAAAGATCTATCTCCTAGTAGCTATTTTTTTTTTTTTTTGTAGCTATCACCAGAATTTGCAGGAGAAATATAAATTATTCTAGGTCATAGCTCTCTTTACTTGTGAATTTATGGATTAGAGGTGTAAGCCAGTTTATGTTTTTATATATGTTTTAAGGCCCCAGAATGTAGTTTTAGTGACTTGGGGATAATGTAAAGTGTCCCTATAATGGAGAGAATTTATACTTTTTGATCAAATGCCTTGAAAGAATTTTTCTGCCTATCCATATTCCCAGAACTGTTTTTATTTTTTATTTATTTATTTTTTTTATTGAAACATAGTTGATTGTACATATCTGTGGGGTACAGCATTGAATATCAATACCTGTGTGCAATATGTGATGCACAAATCAGGATAATTAGTGTATTCAACCTTATACATTGTAATCATTTTTTGTGGCCTTTTACCAATTTCAAGATTAAAAAACAAGTCTGAACACAGGTAATGCTGGTAATAGTCATGTTATTATCTTTATATTAATTATGTTCCCAGAATGCCCTTTTAAAATTAATATTTTGTTAACAAACTATGATAAGCAGCTTCAGAATGTGAATTAGGATATGGCTACTCTTCTGTCTGCTTTAGCCTGGACATAGTACTAGGGAGAAAAGAGAGTCTCTTGATGATTTAGACCCAGAAACTGCTTTGATCCCATGTTGAAATACAGTGAGTGCCCTGCCCACATCCCACTCCAGGACTGTGCACCAATTCCCCCAGTTTCTGGGTGTGTCCTGGGAGTGTAGTTCAGTCCCTCTCTGGGCACTGTTTTTAGGTGAAGAGAAACATTTTGCCCAAGATGGTACTCTCTCTCCAGGGACACCCTGCATTCAACGACTGCAGAGCCCCTTGAAGCTCGAGCTTTTGTTGAAACTAGATCATAGGCCAACTATGCCCAAATCTGCTTTCTTCCTCCCCTACAGATGTTGTTCTCAAGTGCATTCCCCACTAAACTGCTTGCAAATCTTGTCTCAGAGTGTATTTCCAGGGGAATCCAACATCAATTAACCAACTAGGGGACATAAGACATGGGCACTTATAACTGTTATGCAATGCACATCTCAAGTGTTATGCAGAGGCCTGTGGCTTTTTGGAGGAAGGAGAGGCCACATTTGGTAGAAGGACAATGAGCTGCTTTATGAAGAAGATGGCCTTGAAAAATGGATAACACTTTTACAGTGAAACTGAGATTAAGAAGTTCAGTCTGTGGGTAGAGGGAGGGCAGTCTAAGTAAAGGGATGCAAGTGAGCAAAAGCACGGCAGTAGGAAAGATCAAAGAGGATTTGAGGAGAAACCCAGTGTTGCTGTAGGATATTTGTATGAAGATGAGGGTCATACTTCAAAATGTTATGATGATAGCCTTAAGCAACTTTAAAGAGGTTTTTAAACTAGTTTTCTTATAATAACCATGTTTTTGTCTTTTTTTTACAGATTATATCGTACTTTCAAGGACAATAAGTATGTATACATGCTTCTGGAAGCCTGCTTAGGTGGGGAGCTATGGAGTATATTAAGGGACAGGTAATGAAAAAGAGTTATAAACAATAGCTTTGTCTGCACACATCTGTTTTAGAGGATGTTATATTTGTAACCATTTAAAGAGTCATGAAGGAAATCATTAGGAAATAATTATAAGAAAACATCACTTGATAAAATAAAGTAGTAATTGTAATCTTGTTTTAGTTAACATTACAATTAGGGTCATATGCACCCTGTCATCTCTATTTTGGGTAATAAAGAATGCCAGGCTTAGACAGGGTGTGAACTATCCAAGATTACATGGCTAGTACCAGCCAGAGTCAGGATGTAAAGCCAGATGTTTCTTATTCCAAATCTCTAGCAAGGTGATAAAAAAAAAAGGCAGCATTGAGGAATGTTTAAGCCCTCGCTGAGAAGCAGAGTAAGATGTCG